CGAGCGAAGGTTGGTGATTGTCTCCGGCTCCGATCATGGTGATTGTGAGGGGTTCTTGACCTTTCCCTGGTGGAGAGCCGAAAGGTACTTTAGTGGATTGCTCGTGGCTTGTGTGATCCTCATCTTGTGTTGGTTGAGTGGCACCCTATTGAGGGTTAGGCATGTGATGCCAATTAGCGCGTGAACCTCCAAGTGAGTGAATCGCCACAACGAGTACTAGCTTGCCGGCAAGCAAGTGAACCTCAGTAAAAAATCATTGTGTTCATGATTTAATTCCGAGGTGATTGGTCTTCATTGGTATTCATTCTTGTGATTGATTGGCTCCTTTCTCGACATGGCGGTATAACCATCTTGCTCACTCTTTTTACATTACCACAAACTAGTTGTCAAGCTTTTTAGTGTAGCTAGTTGTGAGAGCTTGTTAGTTTGGTTAGTGTGGCTTTTTGGTTAGCTTTTGAGAGCACACTAACTTAGTGTAGTGTCATAGCTATTGTGTGGATATAAACTATATAAACTAGAATTGTGGTAGGTGGCTTGCTTTTTAGTAGGCTAGACCAACACTTGCTTCGTCTCATAATTGTCTAACCATTTTGTTATGTGTTGTTGTAGAATTTTTAATAGGCTATTCACCTTCCTCTAGCCATTAGGACCTTTCACAAGCTACTAAGCTTACTCTAATGACTAAGATACTAAGCTAACTATCATCTTCATCAAGCGAAGTGTTGGGTTCAACTAACAAACTCTTAGCCTGGCAAATTAAGGATATATATTTATTTCCACTAGTGATTTAATGTATATTGAAACAAAGAGCATTTAACTACCCTAATGCTTAGTCTATTCTAAGGCTATAAATTACAGTGAGCACATAATAATACAATGAAGCTACCATAAAAATTCCAGGACTCAATCTACCACCAATTTACCACAAAAATTCATACAATAATTAACTTAATATTATTAAGCATTCTCAAATGATTTAATAACTCTTAATATCAACACATATAAGTATGAACTAAATACACCAACAGATAGATCACAACCTTAGGAACCTATTTTGGACACCTACATGATTTTATAATAATTATCAAAGATCAGCTCAAAAATTAAATTAGAAAACCATTTCTAATTCCTTAGAAAAAAGGATAAGTGAATCTCCTGTGCGGCCCGTGGCGGGGAAAGCCCGCGCGCGCTGGCAATTTTGCAAAAGAGATCTTGAACTCCTCACAATTTACAACTAAGTACTAATACTATTTTCTCCTCTCGTAGACCTTTTCACTTAATCCCCCGGCTTCCCTGGAATTCCCCTGCGCGCACCCCCGGCTAACCCGTGCCCAGCGGCGCGGCGAGCGGTGGCATGGGGTGGCCATGCTGGCCACCAGAGACCCACACTGGCTCATCGGTTAGGACGACATTCAACTATGGTCCCACCGCCTACGCCGAGCAGCAACGCGGGGCGGTGGGACGCGCTAGAGTTAGTTGCGGCGGGGCGCGGCCATCCACGATGGTGGCGCGACTGCCCCAGCGAACCAGAGCACCTAAGGACCTACCAGGCTAGCGAGTGAGCATCAGGAGACTACCGTGGACCTGGCCAAGGTGGTGGGTGGAGAAGAGGGTGACGGAGAAGGGCTGGCCACGTGCGGACGAGCCGTGCGGCGACGCACCGCCACGGCACGGTCGCGTTAGTGACGACAGGGAGGTGGTAGCGGTTCAGCTAAGGCACGCAGGGTGAAGAGGGAGTCAAGGCGAAGCTAGTGCTGCAGGTGAATTGGTTTGGGATGGGCGGTAGGAGGGCTGCCCTCGACCATGGCCAAGCGCGGCTTTAATGGTACGGTGGCGGGGAAAAGCTCCAAATTGGAGCTTGGTAGTGCCTTCCTCATGGCTGAGTGGGGTCGGACCGCGAGAGGACGTGATGGTGAAGCTGTGGATGCGATGAATTGAATGGAGGTGATCGATCGCTGGGTAATTTGGTGGCACGGCTCGACGGTGGTCAGCAGAGAGAAGAGGGAGACGGGGCCGGCAGGTGGGCTCAGCATGGCCTCGCCTTGGCGGGATGTGATCGGCGCGATCAGGGCATAACACGCGCAGACGCAATCGGACAAGCACGTGCATCCATTGACCGACATGGCCTGCATGGCCGCAGTGCCATAAATGGCAAGGCGACGGTGAGCTCCACCACGTGCGCGCGGTAGCGGCGAGCACCAAACTGGGCCAGCAGCAGGGTAGGGGTGCAGAGGGAGGCACGGACGTGACGGTGAGGCGACGACACCTGCAACGGCTGTGTCGCGGCACGAGGCGGGTCGGCAGGGCGGCGAGGCAGGCGACCGCGTCGCTCGGCTGCGCGAGCAGCAGGGGCGGCTCCACACGGCAAAGCCAGTGGTAGCTAGGATAGGGTAGTCGCAGTCGGCCATGCACGGCAGCGCGCGTGCACGCGCAGACCGAGCCGGCGTGGCGACGTCGCGCCCTCGAGACGTGGTGACCGCGCTCACTCGTTGAACTAGCCCAAAATCACGTCTTTTATGAATTTTAAAGCGCCTATAACAACTAAACGGTTGCTTCTGGACCTAAACCGTCTTTACAAGCTCAAGATGGCATATGAGGCTATCAACCTGAGCTAAAACACGACACCATCCCTTAACTCGATTTCACAAAATAAATTACCAAACATAACATTGTCTTGTTGTCTATAAATTTGAAAATATTGTCTTTGAGCTGAACTTGATTCCAAGTTGCATTTCTAGGCCATTAGAAGCATTAGCTAGCGAAGTTATTTTTCAACAGCAAGGATTTTATTGTCATCTACAAAGTCCATACTCCAAACTTTATTTAAGTACTACATATATGTTCTATAGTGTTTTTGTTCAATAAAAATTAGTTTTCAACCCTACTTGATATACATGAATAATGTAGTAGCTTTTCATTTAATATTTTTATTGATAATCTTCAGTTACAAAAAAAATTCATTCACGCATTCTACCACATGCGTTATCACATAAACATGATGCTCATGACATGTTTTAGTAATTTGTTTAGGGTGTACCACCAAGGCTGTTATATGAGTCTTGCAAGTAGTGTGACGATCAAAAGTTTCGTTAGTTTTTTTCCTATTACTATAACCTTTCATTGCAAACACAGAACTACCAAATTTTTTAGACATTCCTGGATCAAAAGAAAAGATAACAATATAAGCAATAAGCTACATCCTTGGACTCACTATACTCAAGCCAATCAAACTCGTCAAACCAAGTTTATTGAAATGATCTTCATTGACTACTTTGCCATTTAGAAACAAAGGTAAGATTACGAGGTTAGGCTGGACCTCTCAAAGCATACGCCCTTCTTACTTGGTCTCTAATTTCATGTACATATTCTTCAATTGGTTTGCGATTTTTAAGATCACCAACTACATCAGATTGACTAAACTCCACTCCACGTATCTTTCGTTGATTTGTGCTGTCATTAGTGCCTGGAGTTGTTGATGTACCACTTGAACTATAAAAATATGTGTGCAATGTTCTTTTGGACATTTTGAACAATCTACAATTTATCCTTAATAAAATTTTAAACAATTAATTATGTGTAAGAAAATCAAATCTAAAGATCAGAAATGAATAATATACCTCTGGGCTACTGCCTTTTCATAACCAGAATATTAAATTTCTTCTAGTGAGGTGGGGTTCCCTAGTGATTCGGCATTTAAAATTTAGTATAATTTTTTCCTACTAAATGCCTCCTAGTGAGATTCTTACGTGCTATGACTAGTGGTAGTATTTTAGTACTACTTAAAAACACTAGGAGAATTTTACCATTTTGGTAGTGTTTGCTGCCTAGTGCCGACCTTTGCCCTGCGGGCTGTGGCTGTGGCCTCTGGCCTGCTTGCTGCCTGGATCATGGAAATCATGTCAACACACCTTAGGCCCTCCGCAATGTGCTCTTAGAGTGATGCCCAAACCTTCTCTCTCCCTTCCAGGCATCACTCTCTACACTGCAGCTACCAATGCCAACTTTCAAAGATTCTGGAGTGGAGCAAGTAGAGGCAGCGTTGCCTGAGGACTTAAAAACAATATTTCTTGTGTTATGTGAGAGGAGAGCATATGTTGGTGTCAGATGAAAGCCAATAGGCAGCACCCATACCGTCGCATGATAGAAGATAGCATCGGTGCTAACTCTTTTACACACAGTAGCTATGAGAAACGATGCTTGTTTTCCTATCGTCGGACCCACTTATTTTTTCTGGCTCTACTTCACACTGCGGAAGGCCTTATGGTTGATAACCTGTGGGCAACCACAACGGTCGTCGTGCCGATCATCAATCGATCAAGGGCTTCTTGAACGATACTCTCTGAACCAGCATCGAGTGCACTAGTGGCCTCATCTAGTAGTAGGAGTTTTGGATTCTTCAGCATCGCACGGGCAATGACAATGCGTTGCTTCTGACCACCAGAGAGCTGAAGTCCTCTCTCTCCCTGGCGGAGCCAGGAACTGGGGATAGGGTGTCAGCATTAGTTTCCACCTCCACATTAGGAGTTGCCACATTAAGATTTTTAGCTTGAATAGAATCAGCACTTGAACCAACAGGATTAAAGAAACTATGAATTGTTTTGTCTTCTTCATATCACCTAATCGAAAAGAGGATTCGACTATTTGAGATACAGATCAAGTGATTAGATTAAATGATCCATGGCCTTGTTTAGTTGACGATTTTTTTTGGAAAATGATATTGTAAGATTTTCGTTGTTATTTAAGAATTAATGTCCAATCATAGTCTAATTAGGTTTAAAAGATTCGTCTCGTGAATTTCGTCTAATCTGTGTAATTAGTTTTATTTTTTATTTATGTTTTCACGAGACGAATCTTGAAAAATTTTACAAAATTTTGAAAACTAAACAGGCACTGTAAACAAGTGCTATTTAAAAAGAGGTTGTATTCTACCGTAAAGAAGAACCGAAGAAAAGACACAAAGTGACAAAAGACAAAGGGGGAGGGTGGAGGCAAAAGGCAGCATGCCTGGCGTGGACGTCTGGCCATCTGGGCACGGCGCCGACAACATCGACGTCGCGATTCGCAAACTCGCGATGACTCGGAGGCGGAGGCGGGAGTCTTGCCGTCTGCGGTCTGCCCGTCTCGATGGAGCCAATGCTCCTGCCATCCTGCTCGTCCTGTTGGCTGCTGCCTATTGCATGTGGAAGATGCACAGCAAGGAGTCAAGGAACATGATCAATACAGACTGCCGACTGCGGATTGGAGCACGAAGAGTCACGCTTCGCGGCGTATGGAACTCAGCAGCAACGCTGCTGTTGGCTTGAACTTATCAGCCCGGCTTATGGTATGATATAGATTTTTCTTTCACAACAAAACATCATCGTCGATCGTCTTATCGGTCCTAAAAACCATCAGCCGAACAATAGTGGGCTGCAATCACTTATTGTTTGGCTCCAATTGAAGGGGGGCAGCCTTCATAAACTAACTAATATAAGCATTGATATTTAAATACTTACTAGATATATGTCTGTGCATTGCACTGAGGCCTCGATTTTTTGTCTAGCCTAAGAAATCTATAAATACAATTACATATAAAACTACTTATAATTATATTCAATTCAATATCAATCCTTTTAATCTCAGCCGTATTGCTGCTGGTGTGGGACACGTATACGTGTATTCCTATAATATAATGAATTTATTTATGAGACTAATTTTCTAAAGGAAAATGGCCATATAGCGTGTATGACGTCATGATGACATCAAGCAAAGGAACACTGGGGCAAAACAGAGCACAGCTCGCGGCCGGCTGTTCAGGGTTCGCGGCCGCGGCTGCGCAGTCGCGGGCAAGGGGAGCCTGTGACAGGGCAGCGCCGCGTCCGTGGTCAGGCGCGGGACAGGGCGCGGCCTCGCCGGAGCTCGCAGGCGTGGCAGCCTTCTGTGAGTTGGTGCTGTGTCCTGAACGCGCCGACCCTGCTCACGCACGCCTTATCCGCGCTGACTGCGCCCGTGTCCTCGACGGCTGCCCCAAGGCTGCGGCGCCCGCCCCGTGTCCGCAACGGCCAGCCCCGAGGCCACGGCGCCCGCCCCCATGTTCGCGTCGAACGCCTGTGAGGCCGCCTCCGTGGTCGCGCCGGCCGCCACCAAGGCTGAGAGGCCGGCCCTGCTCACGCACGCCTTATCCGCGCTGATTGCGCCCATGTCCGCGACGGCTGCCCCAAGGCCGCGGCGCCCGCCCCGTGTCCACAACGGCCAGCCCCGAGGCCACGGCGCCCGCCCCCATGTTCGCGTCGAACGCCTGCAAGGCCTCCTCCGTGGTCGCGCCGGCCGCCACCAACGCCGCGCCCCCGGCTGCGAGGCCGCGACGCCCGCCTCCATGGCCGCCCGCCTCGATCTTGGGTTACGGGGAGGGAGTTACCCGTAGGAGTGTGACTCTCGGTAGGATGAACAGCCGCGACTCCCACCGAGTTGCTTCTCTCAAAGGGCATAAGGTCAGTCCCAACGGTGCATTGATGATGGTTTTTATCCTCATTAAATGACTTGCCACGTAGATAAAACGCTGACATGATAATATAATTAATAAAGAAAGAGAGCAAAAATCCTAGAAATGGTTTCCTCATAAAGAAATCAGGTCTTCTTTTACCCAATGCACCAAGAAACCATGAAATCGCCATTGGAGAGAAACCACTCGTTTCTAGGGGGCTCGTGCCGCACTCCTATTGGAGAAAGAAGATAGAGTTGGGAGAGAGAAAAAGAAAATAATTATTACTCATAGAAACCATGAGTTGAAAAGCAGTACTTTTTTTTTTATGCGGTATCCTATATTATAGAAACTACTAGTTTTTTTCATTGGGAATACAGTTTTTAGCGTAGTTTCCAAGAGCAATAAATTGCCCTATAGACAACTGTTTCAATGCATGGTTTGATTAGTAGTTTCTAAGGCAAAAAAGAGTTAATGAACACGTGCATGTTTTACCAAGAGAGCATGATCAGTTGTAGCAAGGATATATGTAACACTCACGTGGCCACAAATTAATCTCCAACTCGTGTTCAACGAGATCAACTCTGATATCCATCCTGTGATATACGCACAGGCACAACTGCATAAAAGGCGCAATCCGCTGGCGATGTTGAGGTAGAACTACAGCGTAGGTCCTACAAACTAATAAAAAAAAAGAAAGAGAAGAAACAACCTGTTAAAGGGCTCCTTTGGTTCAAAGGAATTTCACAGGAGGAATGTAGAATTGTGATTTCCACAGGAATGGTTACTGTAGCAGCCTTTGGTTTACGTGATTGAGCTGTAGAAATTTTGGAGGAAAGAATCATCTGCCACCGGTTTCATAGGTGAAACATAGGAAAACAAACATCCACTTGGATCTCTTTTTTTCCATAGGATCGGGGCAAGTCAGAAGTAAAAACATGATTGCTCAGAGAAAAATAGCTGAAGCAACTAATACTCCGTACAAAAGCAATGTATGCCTACAGTTGATTAAACTAACCTGAAAGGATTAGACATTTCCTAAGGTTGCTATTCCTACAAACTTTCTGTGTCCACCCAAATAACAACTCCAACAAATTTCCTGTGCTTTTCAATCCTTAATTTTGCACATGCAATCGTATCATATTTCTACATTTTTCCTTTCCCATGTTTTCCAATGCCATGATCCGAAGGAGCCTGCATCGCACATTATTATCATCCGCACACTGCCGAACTTATCTCAAGCAAGCACTGCTCCATCCCATCCGTCGTCGCCAAAAATCTCAACCAAACAAGCTACTGCTGCATCCAGTGCTCATAGTGGTCCGGTGACGTGCGGCCGGCGTGCTCAGCGGGCAGCGGCTCCCTGCCGTGCGAGGCAAAAGGCCTTCAGCAGCGAGCAGGCGCTCCACCGCCGTGCGAGGTAAGCGGCCTCCAGCAGCCACTGCGTGTGGCGAGCAGCGACTCCATGGAAATTTGGGGGAAATCCACAGGCATCGACAGGGTGGGAGGGGGGATTTGGAGAGAGCTACGCCGGAGCAGAGATTGGGGATTTCAGCGCGTCAGAGCAACAAGATGCGAGCGCGGGAGCTGCGACCGCGGGAGAAGGGCATGCGCGCGGGGAAGTTGGCGAGGCGGCGGCGGCGCACAGGATCCAGATTGAAGACAGAAGAAACGAGTCGAGTCCTCCCAATGCAGTTTTGCTCGTTTCTTGGCGTCTTGGTCGGCGGGACGACGCCGAGTCCTCATGTAGAAACGGTTTCTCTGATTTGAATTCTCATTCCATATTAAATTTACAGAAATAATATACAATATATGAATTTTCTCTCTCCCTCTCCCTCTCTCTCTCTCTCTCTCTCGTTTTTTCCACCGGGCTGTCCTGCTGCTGCTGTCCGATCTCGTGATCCGACGGCACGTACGCACGCCGTGCGGTTGTTTTCGCGGCGTCATCGATCAGCGGGTGCGCGCCGGATCAATGGTGACACCGGAGTCGCAACAAAGGCTGCAGATTCTCCGTGCCGGGATGGAGTGGAGAACGCCCCTCCGCCACGCAAAAAATGCAGCAGGGGCCAGCGACGACGGACGGATCGTGGCCACGGAAGGACCGTGGCGAGCCGGCCGTCCCGTCCAGTGAGAGGTGCCGGTCATCAGCAGCTAGCCAACGCAAGTTTTTCTCCCCTCCCTGATTAATGCGGCAGAGCTCGATTAATGATGGCCAATTTGTTCTTTTATCCTTGCATAGAAAAAATTGTTTTTTTGATTTGTGGATCTATAATTTTGTGATTTATGATTGTCTGGAGGTAGAAGAAGGCTGAAAGATGTTGGATCTTAATTCTACGGTGTAAAAAAATTCATGTGTTGAAACTGCATAAAACACATGGTTGTTGGGTAGACAGACTCTAAATTTATTGCCACCTCAATAATTTGCTTAGCTATCACCCTAATTAAGATAGATAGAAATTATCATTAATGTCACGTTGGGACTGCCTTAACGGTGTCGGAAAGGAGCGCCGTGGACGTGGGTGTTCCATGATTCCCACAATTGGGCTGGCCCAACACACGAAGCCTAATTTGATTATTCGACCGTATGTTGCCAACCGGCCGGGGCAGGCCGTGATTTCCGTTTGGGATTCGTTTGGGAGCAGAGTATGTTTAAGCTCTGGAGATTAGAGGGGCAGCAGAAGGTAATCATAGGAAATTTTTAGAAGTAGATAGATTGAAGGTTTAGTGGGCTGTTAGCGCCCCCCCCCCCCCAGCAAAGGGTTTGCATTCAAGAAGCCAGTATTATCTACCATAAACAGAATAGCGATAACGAAGACAAAACCAATAGGACTATTTTGTTACAGGAAAAATATAATTGCAAATGTGTTTACGAGAATTGCAAAACAAGAAATGGAGTGCTTTGAAATCAAAACAGAAATGAAGTGCAAATGTCATTAGAATTTAGAATGAAATATAATTAGAACCCACATGAGTGTTGTATCCATTAGGAAGAAGAGCAATGAAGCCATCACTACTATATAGGCCTCGTTCGGCTTACCTCATAATCTGCACTATTCAGCTTATTTTTTCAGTCGGAACAGTGCTTTTCTCTCACAACAATTCAGTCAGAACAGTATTTTTTAGCCAATTCAGACAAGTTTCAACAAGCCGAACGGAGCCATAGTGGTCATCACCGCCGGTTCCACACCCCTCACCACCGCCTGTTTTGGCTCTTGTGAAAGTCATTGATGATACGGATGGTCATCACCAATAGTCTATGTGTTACCGGTCGGCGTTGATTTGGATTTCTAGAAATTTCAAAATTCTTGTAAAAAATAGCAAAAAATTGATTTAATACCAGCAAGCAGTCACAAGTTATAAATCAAACGATTTTTCGCGCAAAAATCTAGGTGTTGCGTGCTGCTGGGATTTGAACCTAAAACTTGTGTCCTCACGCGTAGTTGCTCTAACCACTCCACCCCTAAGTCACTTGTGTCCATATGGCATATTTATTCCCTTCGTATTCACTTCTCAAGATTTTAAAATGAATATTTAGGATCCTAAGTGTCGGTGTTTTGGACCGGCGGGTCCTCAACCAACGAGTGAAAATGTACTGCGTGTCCCTATCCCGGATGGCGATGCAAAGAGACACAAGGTTTATACTGGTTCAGGCAATAGGTGCCCTACGTCCAGTCTGGGAGTGCGATCTTGTATTCCTTGCACCGAGGTGCTCGTAGTAGGGGTTTACAAGCAAGGCGAGAGAGGGAGTTAGTCCCAGGTCTCTGCGTAGAGCGGTGTGGGTTGCTTGAGATGTTGATTTCTTGCAGTGAGGGAGCGTGCGTATTACAGAGTGTTGCTCGTTGCTTGCGTGTGTGTCTATCTGAGCGATGTCTCCGTGAGTGTGTTGGGTGTGTGCCCCTCCCTAGGGGCGGCCCCGTCACTCCCTTTTATAGTTGAAGGGTGGGACAGGGGCGATACATGTGTTCGCTACATGACGTTTTGTGAGCGGAGGCGGTATGTCCGAGCCCTGCAGCTCGTTACTGTGGCGGTATGGTCGATGGAGCGGTCCTGTCCTTGGTACTCTGGAGCGACGCGCCGATCACGCCTGGTCTTGTGCGACGTGGGAGCTCATGTGGTGGCAGCGTACCTTCTCTTCATTGGCGGCGTCTTGGTAGTCAGATGTTTGACCGGCGCGGAGTGCCGAGGCCGGGTCGATGCGATGGCACGGGTGTGCTGACTCCGAGGACACAGGAGCTCGGCCCTGTGCGCGACGTGGGAGCTCCTGCAGCCTGACGCAGGGTATGGCGCGTTCTACGGGCGACGTGCCGAGGCCCAGTCGATGCAGAGGCCCGACCGTCGTGGGGGGCTCAGCGGGCGCGAGTCCCGAGGCTACAGGAGCCCGGAAGCGAATGACCGAGGCTCGGAGGGAGCAGTTGGTCTTGTTCGTTGATTTCGAGGCTACACGGACCTGGACTTAACTCTCCACGCCGCGTTGTCCTTGAGCAGGTGGGGTTAGGCAGCACAGTGCCGCATGGGTGTCAGTCGTGGGCACAGTGCCAAGCACGGTGGCCGATAACCCCTGCCCCGTCCTGTCCCGGACTGCATGGCGCCGATGTGACTCCCGTCCCATCGGCCACTCTGCTGTACGGCGCCGACGTGCGGCTGACGTTGCGGGAGTGGTTGGACTTGTTGGTTGGATGGGACATCCTGTCAGGGAAATTGGTCAAGGCGGCGATGATGGGGTCGATGTCGAGCCGGCCTCGCGCGAGTTGGTAACTGAGAGTTCGTCCAAGGCCTCGTGGCGCGGGGCCTTGAGCGAATCGGAGAATCGGTACCTCGTCCGAGGCCTTTCGGGCGGGGTCTCGGGCGAGGCGGAGAATCGGTACCTCGTTCGAGGCCTCGGGCGAGGCGGAGAGTTGGTACCTCGTCCGAGGCCTTGTGGCGTGGGCCTCGGGCGAATCGGA